TTTATGCATGTCATCCTTGCGCAGGGGCCATTTGCTAATTTACCCTTCTCTGTATCGTTCCAATTTTAACGGATGTCCCGGAGGACTTTCTTTCTTTCTTTCTTTCTTTCTTTCTTTCTTTCTTTCTTTCTTTCTTTCTTTCTTTCTCAATCATCATTGGGACCACAACCCTGTGAATCTAGACCTTGCAATGTCAAACATTAACCGTGAGAGTGGGTTAGGGAAAAACTTGAAAAGGAAAAAAAGAGAAACAGAGCGCTCTGCAAAACTGGTTCCTGAGACAGGTATGATTTCCAAGTAGCTTTGGTGGCTCAGGGATTTAACTGTTAATATACTTCAGCAATTCAAACTTTGCATGCATCAAAAGCATCATAATTTTGATGTAGAGAATGCTCTTTCGTTCCGACATTTCTCTTAAGCTCATGCAGATCGAGCTTCTTCATTGCAGGGGATCTATTGAATAAGGTGAACTAAAAAGATTAGTGGAATGAATTTACTATTGATTGCATATGATGGTTAAAAAAAATAAGCAAAAAATATTTAATACAAATTCATAAGTAAGAAAAAACATCTAGCCTCCTGATGAGTCAGTGAAACTCCAACAAAACAGTTCGTCTTCGTCACAGCCCCCTCGTTTGTTGTCCTCTTCTCCCTTTTGTCCCTCTCTGCCTACCGTTTACCAGGCAGCTCTGTTTGACTAGATACATTATAGACGATACATACATACATATCTATATTATAATAATAGATATGTATATACAAACATTAAATCAAATACTATAAGAAAAACAGGATGTATAATAATATTATGATTAGATAAAAATTCATAACATAGATATATTTTGAAGCACTACCGGCAGTACCTCCACCAGTGTTGGGGAAATATGGAAAACTGGCAGTTTTCCCAAACTCGTAAGAAATCAGAGGCCGGGCCCGGCAATGGCCGCCATTGATAAATCTCATCGGCAGCCGTCATTTCATTTCGGCCTTCTCAAAAGGTCGGAGGCCCACCCGAGGCCCACATTTTTCCCACTCGGCAAAGGTACTAGTTGTTTAAGAAATACATAATATACATATCATAATAAGTAATACATAATAAATTAATAACATATAGTAAATAGCAATATCTACATTTATTTGTCTATATTTTACAAAAAATAGAACAATGATATATAAGTAGAATAAAATGTATTTATAGTACACTATTAAATCAATTTAAATGTACTTTTATTATCCATTAGGGAATAAATAGGGCATGGGGCATATTAAGTGTCATCATTCCAAGACATGATGGGCAGACTGAGGAGAAGCAAGCTTTTAGTGACTCAGACTCAACAAAGAAATATTGAATTGAAAGGTACATTCCAAGACTAGAGATTGTAGGTTCAGCATAGGGGTGGAATCCTAAGGCAAGAAGGGGAGCTGCCACTTGAAGAGTGCATGCTTAGAGAAGCCTGGCCTGCAAGCAAAAGATGATTCCAACATAATGAAATATCAGATAGCAACAACAAATCCATTGGCTGCCGTCTTCCGCTCAGCTCGGCTGGACAACGCTGTCACCTAGATTTCCTGTAGGAAACGAATCCATCGGTCGGCAGGGATACCACCCCCTTACACGCAAGGAGGTGCTTTTGTCCTGCTGCCTCCAAGACCTCACCTCAGGATCAGCCCCCATTTCTTTCAGGTCGTCACCGTCACAGGTAACATCATAACGATGACGACGGTGGCTGCGCTTTCGTCCCAAGCAGAAAGGGCGAAGGAATCCAGATTTAAGTACGCGGACATGAGCCTTAGGGCCATGCTCCAGCTCACGCATGGACAGAATGCGGAACTGTATTTGGCAGCAAATGAGAGAGGGAAAGAGAGAGACGAGACGGAAAATCTAATGGGGCAGAAACATTCACGTTCTTAGTCTAGCAAGGGTTGATGCCTCACAGCAGGCATGGCTGATGGACTAGGTACTAGACAGGAGGTCCGGCCAGACGTGCCAAGTCAAGAAGAACTCTTGTGGCATCAGATACCAATAAATTCCCTCAGCACCTCCGTATCAAGGACCGAGGGGCAATTTCCCCGATCAGTCTCATCAGGTACCAATAAATCTCCTGTACAATGAACAGACCGCTCTATTTCCCTAAGCGTCAAAAACGGTGGAACAGGTGGAAGAGAATGCCAAGGACTCTGTGCGACACCCCTGTGAAACACATGGCAGAGAATGCAGGTGACTGACAGAATGAAGCTCGACGAGCCAATAGATGAACTTCGGAAGTCAATCGATGCAATGATGGATATGACGGAATCACTGGATATTTGTGCTTCAGTGACGCAAGGAAGAAACGGACAAAAGAATGAATGAATGAATGAATGAATAAACCAGTGACTGACTGACTGACTGCATGAATGAATGAAAAAATGAATGAATGAATAATCAGAATAAATGAATAAACACAATGAATAATCCGGAGAGAATAAGGGAATCCTCCATTGATCAACTGTGGTGAAGCGTAGGAAGCAGCCACTAGATCAAAAGCCTCTAGCCGCACCAGATTAAACATGCAAGCCTTGCAATGGGAGGAAAAAAATAAAATCTCCGCTTGATAGACACTTACGTATGCCCCATGTGCTGGATTCCTCTGTTCACATTCACTGCAGTTGGAGGAAGAACAATGCAGCGCGGTTCCTCGTTCATCAAATGTTCCCCTGTCCGTGTCCATGTTTCTCTATTCATTCATTGCTGTCCCACTGGTTTATCCGTTCACATATACGATCCTTATGTCCGCTGCTTCATCATGAAAATGTGTACACTTCGTCGGAGCAAACTGTACCCAAATCGTCCGAGCAGATATCGTTGGAGCAAACTGTATCGTTCCATCGGAGCGCGCTCGCCCCTTGGCGTGCTGGTTCCACACACCCACACGAATGAATCTTGGCAGTACTGACCTGCCTACCTTAAGAGGAATAAATTACTGCAGAAATTCTCTGTTATTCAACAAAGAACACAGTGACCAGCTCCCGATGCCGGCTTTAAGAATGGACAGACGGGAAATGGAATCTAAGCATAAGAGATGATGTACTCGTCTGCCCATCAGGTTGCACTGCACTTGCCACCTGAGTTATCCCGTTGGACACAAGTTACGCCCCCCCAAAAAAGGGACGATCCTCTCGCCAAGCCAAGAATGACTTCTGGGATTGTGATAATCATTATTGCGGTGACTGAACGAACGGCCTCAGCTTTTTCTGTTTCCCGATATCCAAATGAACACTTCGATTCCGGCTGAGCATCCAATTCTGCAGGGCTTCAGTGCATCCACCTACTAGAGATTCCACCAAAATTGAAAAGGACTTGACTGTCACACTTCCGTCTTGAATCTTGATATACACCTCCATTTTGCAGAGTACAGTGATCTAACAAAAGCCATCAGGGGCCTGCTGCGCCCACCGTGACCCTCCCGATCCCACACTCGGCACCCAATGCTTTGCCCGGCCGTCCAGGCACTTTTCCTTCCATGATCATCAAGCCATGTTACATAGTTGTCGCCCTGTCCTTGTTCTTGCATACACCTCCCCTTCACCATCCCCTCCGTCATCCCCTTCGTCTTCCTCACGCACTTCCTTGCCCCCTTCATCATCCCCTTCGTCATCCCCTTCGTCATCCCCTTTGCCCCCCTCTTCGTCATGATCCCCTTCATCAACCCTCCCTCGATCATCCTCTTCGTCATGATCCCCTTCAGTCATCCTTCCCTGGTCTTCAGGAATCTCAACCAAAAGCTGCATACACAAGGTGGGCATCGACGCTCCCCTTTTGATGCTGTCACCTGCAGGCACCTACCTTGAAGGAAAACACTCGTCCCTTGAGCTGTCCGTTTCCCATCAACTTGGCATCGTGACCAACCTCGACTTGTTGAGCCGCCTGTTTGTGATTACTCAATCTTTTCCCTTCTCTTCTCCACCCGCCCTCATATCTGGTAACCGCTCTTGCCTGGCCTTACTCCGCTGTTGCATGGCGTACAATATATCTTCTTCTCATGCATTCACCCCGAGTTGTATCCCTGCCTGATTTGCTGCCCTTGCCCGCTGACCTTCTGTAGGCTATCTTTCACTTGGAAGTAGACGTCCTGCGAACCAGCGACACTTCCGAGGCGCCTAGGTGCATCAAGGCTATTTCAAAACATTGCTGCCCCCCCCCCCCCCCCCCCCCCCCTCTCTCTCTCTCTCTCTCTCTCTCTCTCTGACTGCGACTGTGCAATCATGATGGCACTCACTTTGTTGAATCAGCAGTTCATGTTCCAAGCTATCGAGGAAATGAATGCTGCAGCCAGCATTGACTGTATTCATCTAGTACATCAATTGCACATGACCTGTCATCAAATTTCCGAACTTGCACAGCATCGGTGGATTGCCGTTACTTTCATGCGGACAGCGACGACCCTAGAGAGGCCTGCACTTGATGAGTCGGATTGGTCTGGCATTTTTTTCTCACACCGTGAAAGAAACATTAACTGCTGCTACACTTATTCCAGCCAAGTACTAGATGTTGCTGAACTGCATCATCATGACATTGGCTACGTAAATCATCATCATTATGATATCATGACACTGCCCACAATGGTACAGGACGATTACCATCGTGCCACCTACAACACGAGCTAGCCTGAGGATGGATGCATCACTGAGAGGTTTTTGTCTGCAATGATCGGAGGGCATTAGGCGCTTGCTGCTATCGATGATGCAGCTGCCCTCCTGCCGCGGGTGTAGGCTATTTTAGAATTTGAAGCAGTGTGAGAGGAAAGGATCACGGAAGAAGGCAATCAACAACGCCAACCAGGCATCAAGAACCTAATCTGGCCGGCTAGTTTCAAATGATGGGCGAGAAGAAGGCAATCAACAACGCCAACCAGGCATCAAGAACCTAATCTGGCCGGCTAGTTTCAAATGATGGGCGACTGGATCGGTTTCTGGCCTCCCACTGAGGCCAATGAACGTGGCTGCGACTTCGAAACGAACAAGAATCAAAATAAAATCGCCTCGGTTTACTTATTGACAATCAAACATAAATTGATTAATCAATCAATCAATCAATCAATCAATCAATAAAGATGGTGCCGATGAAGGACTCCTCCTCAAACTGTTTGCTCAACTACAGCTTGAAGAAGCGGACCCACAACAACGACAAAACAACGGCCAGCAGGCCCGACCAGACGAACACTATCGTGGGTGTCTTCTGTGACTTGCCCATCAAACCCTGTCAAACAAAAGTCCACACAAAGTGCAACGCCACAATAGCAATACAGAATTATTAGGCGGACATGTTCGCAGACGAATTGCATGAAGGCAGTTGATCGCAGACGAATTGCGTGAAGGCAGATCATGTAGCACTATGCGTCACACGGTCACTAGGAGGCACGAGGATCCTTTTTTGCACAACAAGAGGAAACACAAGCTGAAATCCATTCTGCATGCTGCATTTGAAATTTGACAGGTAAGTTTGCTGGATGGCTTTCTTCTATGAGTGGGGGTGGAACAGATTGCATCACTTTTCCAAGGGAAGGGTCGTCATGACCTCATCGAAATACAAGAGACTATCATGATGGCCCCGTTCACACACAATAGTCACAGTGTAGTATGCGGTATGAAGATGTGTGTCAAATTGTCAATGCCATAATCTCTGCGGCATGTTTCTCCAAGACATCATCATACGTGAAATCCTGGACAATCTTTTTTTGTATGCGTCAATACAATTAGATGGACAAATTGAAGAGCATGGGCATGAGCACAAGTTCTGCTCAGGCTGAAAACACAGATATCTCTTGGTTGTGGTTTCACAGGATGGTAGATAGGGTCAGTGGGAATGTCGTTAACAGACATCCTTTTTTTTTTTTTTTTGGAGAAGTCTTAACATAACTCCGTTGGTCTTGGTTGTTGTTTCACAGGATGGTGGACAGGGACAGTGGGAATCTCATTAACAGAGATCCTTTTTTTTTTTTTTTTTTTTTTTTTGGAGAAGTCTTGACATAACTCCGTTGGTACTGATCATCAGGTTCCCAGGGACCCCTTCGATTGGGGAAGGGGTATTATTTAACGATGCTTCATTTTGTGCAACCGCGCATTTGGCTGCGACAGATTTGCCGACACCAGGCTGTGCAACTACTTGGCATCGGATACACATTTAGCTGTGGCAGATTTGTGAACACTATGAAACTCAAACACAGAGACGTGGGGTATCTTGCACTCATTTTTACTTTGTCTTTTCTGAACAGATTTGCAACAGACTCAAGGTAGTACCTTCTATAAATCCGGTGGAAAAGGGATTGTTATGGTGATTTCTCTGGGTGCAAGTTGGTTTCTCATTTCCAGACACTCTTTTTCTATGTGCCGGGGTGCCATCAAGGCAGATGCAAGCTTGCACTCTTCCATCCCCCCTCCTTGTGGATTTTGAACGAATGAATGGCTTAACCAGCCTTAACGAATTGCCCACTCTCCAGTTTTGTTTCAAAAAAAAAAAAGAATGAACGTTGTTTTGGTAATTGGTGATCTTACACAGCAGACACACACACATACCCCTTCTGTCGGTAATTGGTAATTGGCTTAACCAGCAGTTTTGTTTCAAAAAAAAAAAAAAGAATGAACGTTGTTTTGGGAATTGTGGATGTTGTCAAGCTGATGGATGGTTTACAAGTAGATATAAGGGAATTGACAAGTGGCCAAATGAGAGGAGGGAGGGCTGACGGGTTGCGACAGGTTTTCGTACGTACCTTCATGAATGGATACATGTGAGTCAGCACCCAGACGGAGAAGAACACCATTCCCATCATCCGACCTGCGCACATAAAGAGTGGCAAAATGAATGACAGAAGATACCGACTCCGTGTCCAAAACTGCAACATTATCAATCTGCGTGTCAAAGACAATATCCAAAAGAAGAAGGAAAAAGGAGAGATTGGGCCTCGTCGTCCTGCCCACCAAATGTACAAAATGAGAATGAATCTCCCTCTAGAACATGGGAAAATGCATTTACGTTTTTAGTGCATTTGGTGAGTACTGTGGCGAAGCCCCTTTATCCAAGACAGCAAGAGTTCAAAAACTACCTCCTTTTCTTATGTAATAATGGGGTTAGGGAGTTCAGTCACTGACAACATTGAGACCATTGTCATAGATTGCATGCTAATGTCCATGCAATGCAAACGAAACACATGTTATGGAGATGCAAAGTGAAGCAGGTATTACGAAGTACTACAAAAAATATATATGAGCAGGGCCGTCGTGTGAGCAATGCGCAGGAGGGCCAGCAAAGAGCATATAATTTCGAAGAGTTCGATAAAAAGAACCTACAAGCAGTGCCACCGGTGATGCAGCCATTCATTTCCTGCGATGGACAATGGAGTCGTCCCAACTACGTAGAACGACAATCAAGGCGCAATACACACAGATACACTGAGAAAGAAGCAATTGGCTGGAACACTCACCCCAGTTCTGATCATCAGGGCCTTGGTACATCTCCCGCGATACTCCAGCGAATATTGCAACAACGTTGATGATGATAATGGTCAAAGGCGGAACAAACAGCCATGTCCACTGCATGCACGTTGACATTGACAGCAAGGCGAAGCAACAAACATTAGTAGCTGAATCGCCGCAGTCTGAGAGCCTGGAGCAATAATGACCAATGAACAAGTACCATTCAGAGGGGGAAAGCTAGGAACAAGTGTGTGTGTGTGTGTGTGTGTGTGTGTGTGTGTGTGTGTGTGTGTGTGTGTGTGTGTGTGTGTGTGTGTGTATGTGTGTGTGTGTGTGTCTGTGTGTGTGTTCTGCGGCACATTCTGGGTGCGTATCATAATGTGGGTGGACATCTAACAACCTGACATGCCTTCTATGTTAGGTAGTTGCGTTTCCGTCCGTTCTTGATGCAGTCAAGTGGATTATCTCTAGTGTATTTTATTACATTTTTCAAGTGTATTCAAGTGGATTATCTCTAGTGTATTTTTCATCAGAGTAACGAAACCTGCTGATCTTTCCACTCGTTCTTTGATCGTACCACACTGTACTTCAAAATTATGTTGTTTCCTCCACATTTTGCAGAGCGCAACCTAACTCTTCTTGAGGCACAAAGGTTCATTCACGTTGGGGATGCCGAGCGGAAGTCTTAGATTGAATTCATATAATCGCCATTGCTTTCTGTTTGGCCAAAAGTTGCTAACACTGTGAAGTCCATCTTACCCGGACGGCGTACAATTCAGCAAACTCGTCATCATCGTCAGATCCCTTCGCTGTCAGCGTGAACCGCGTTTCCACTCGTGCCAAGACTTTGAGGAGACCCTGCAGACAAAGCAGACCAACAGCACACACAGAATGCAGATCATTATGTCAGTGAGAGCAAAGGACTGAAAAACTAAGGGTAAACATTAGTCTGGTTACACTTTCGTGGGCGACAGTAGCATAGTGTTCTCTTCTTTTCTCTGTTTGCTTGAACTTCGCTCTTTATTTGTCCAGTTTTTATTTTCTTTGAAGTTGCAGATATGGGGACGCTGGACCCGGTTTCTTTGAGATGTTGAGGAACTCCCGGCCTCATCGATTGATCATGTATAATAAAAGTTATAAAACTGATTTAAAAAAAAACAAAAAAACACAGCAAGAACAACGATAACGACAAAGAGGACAAGGAAAGGTGTTCATGTGGCCATGACGGGTTGCAATGGCTTCAAGCAGCCAGGTACAGGAGTGACAGCTGCCAGACCAAGAGAAATGTGGAGACATCTTCTGAAAATGAAGGCAGCTCAAGCAAGAACTCATGGCACGAATGACACTGGGAGTTCTGGAACGAGTAGAACACACCTGAGGCATTCATGACAGGTTATAATACAGAGCTCATAGACTCAGGAGGACTTGGGTATGGGAGAAAAAAGAAGGCTGCATTGCCGCTGCAATGGTTCACAGTGGAGCTCGGGGGGAAATACTCCATGACACTGGGGATTCAGAAGTTTATGTTTAGCCAGTGAAAGGCGAAATGTCAAAATGAGAACAACCGGCTCGGATAAGCAAGCATTCATGACTTGAACAGGACACCAAAACTGCATGCATGCAAACAAAAGGGCGATCACTGAGAATCAACGCACCTGGACAACAGCCGCAATATGAGCACTGGTACCTCCAATAACCCAGAACTGCTCATTTCTCCAAAACTCCTCGAGTGTCACACCTATGGACCCAATGAAGACGCAGCCACATGTGAAAAAGAATGATCAATGAAATACGGAATTTCGAAGCAAAGTGCAAACAAACAGTAATAGCTTCATGCTCTTTCTTTCTCATTGAGGCAAAGATTCTACACTGCAAAGTAAATCACACAAAGGCGACAGAGAGACCTGCCACACACTGCATTGGAGTAGCTCCGGGTCTGCGGCAACTACCAGTACAGGGAGGCCTCTCCCCTGCTCCTTACCGGTTAGCACAGGGCCACAGGCCCACAGGGCCAAGGTCAGGTTCTGCCTGCCAGGCCTGAGTTTCCCCTTTTTGGAGATTTTTAGCTGTCATCTCTTTCTATAAAACCATTTGTAAAACATCGTGGGTGTATAGTTGGCAGTGGCTGCAATGCTGTGCAAGGGAAAAATGTCAGAAACATCAGAAATTCTGCTGCAAATGCCACTGGCACGCACATGGCGAATGGCACTACCTTCTTCCCCCGAACATAAGGCATCTGCGTTGTATTCGAGTTTCAAAATTTGAAAAAAAAACGAATAGAAGTTATAGAACGCATATGTGTTGTATTCGAAATTTAGGGCTATTTGAGTAGAACGCATATGCGTCGTATTCAAAATGTAGGGCTATTCGAATAGAACGCATGTGTTGGATGCGTTGTATTCTAAGAGAACGCACCCTTTGCGTTGTATTCGGTTACAACGCATATGCGTTATGTTTGGGGGAAGAAGGTAGTATGACCAATTTGCCCCATGGTTCCCTCATCCAGGTGGAAGCAAAAGAGAAAACAGGGGTCAGGCGTACTGGTGGTTTAAATCACCACCTGTTTCGCGGGAGGTGTTTGTGCACATGCAGGTGACACCTTTCAGCATAGGACTGTTTTTTTTTTTTTTTAAAAAGAAAAGTCCAGGTTGTTGTAGAGGCCAGATTCTGACCCACGGTGGTTGCCGTCGTAGGAGCGCCGGAACCGGAAAGCTTCCCAAGAGGCCACCATTCCTGGTACTATTCCGTCCACGCTGAAGCAGACGACCACGGGGGTAGGTTGGACCCAGTAGTGGTAGTTCATGACACCTATCCCTAGCCCGACCCGAAGACTTCAAGGGCCCCACTTGTTCACACTCAGCCACAGCAAAAGCGGTAAGCTTCCCAGGGGGTTGCCTCCTAGTACTCAATCAGCCAGTAGTTGTCCTGACAATTGTCTGTGGAATCACCGCCCTACCCAACCTCCGGGGGAGGTTGGACCCGGTCGTGGTATTTCATGATGCCTATCCCTAGCCGGACCCGAAGCCTTCAAGCCTGAGGGTCCCACTTGTTCACACTCAGCCACACCGAAACTGGTAAGCTTCCCAGGGGGTCGCCTCCTAGTACTATTCCGACTCAACCGGCCTCTAGTTGTCGTGACAATTGTCTGTGGAACTACCGCCCTACCCAACCTCACGACATTTCTCCTAGTGTAACCCCATTCCCACTATCCTCCCTCAGTGTCAATCACTCAGGACTATCACCCCTCCCCTAGAGGATGACTTGGACTGAACAGTGGTTATAGGCAGCAGGGCTAGGTGGTTCGTACCCAGGCCCACTGGAAGCACGGTCGGGCAAGCCTTGTTACACGGGTACTTCAGACACCAGGCGCAAGCAACACCTCTATCAGTTCGACCGACTACCCTAATCCTTACCGGAATACATCACAGACCGTATCTGACGACTCAACGTAACCCAGGCCAAAGCCCATGAGACCCTAGGAGAGAGTGGACTCCCTACCCTGGCAATATGGTATCTGTGTGTCTGTGTGTGTGCCCAGAGGCTATGTGTCTGTGTCACTGTGTGTATCAAGTGTATGTGTGGTATGTATATGTTGTCACATCACTACAAACTAAAAGAGCGCACTTTGCGGAACAAAGTGTGTCTATTAGCCATGTTTGTCAACCTATAGGTATCCATATGTGTGCTGTGTACAATAGACCTATCTGTGCTGGAAACGCCACACCAAAGAGTCCCCAGCCAGAAGGACTCCGAGGTGTTTTTTGGGAGCTTCTATGAGTTCTGGTACACTTTTGTAGGGTGGCTGACTTGGGTGTCGTTTTTTTTTGTCGGCTTTTTTTCCCCTTGAAAGCCAGTGGTTTTAGTGGGGCTTGTTTCAGCTTTGATCATGACAGACATTCGTGGCCCTGGCTGACTTAGGTGCGTTTTTTTTTATTTTTTTTTTGCGGTTAGATTCTGGTCTGAACAATGGACTTGTCAGCCTTGTTGTCACGTTGACCTGTTTATTCCCCTTCCTTGGACACAGCGGTCCTCTCAACGTACTTGGCAGGTGATGCCTCGCTCGTACTGGGTGCCACACTGCTTTTTTTTTGTAAGGTAAACCTGCCCGATTCGCGAGGGTAGCTAGAAGTCTACTGCACGAACCAGGATCTCCCTAATTTGTCACACCCAAGTGAGCCTGGCAGTCAATGAACGCCTGCATTGACTAAATCATCCCCCCTCACTTGGACAGTAAAACCAAGGCAAAAACGACACACTCAATTGACTAGATCATCCCCCCCCCCCCCCCCCCTCCTCCACTATGACGCTGTTCTGGTTTTTCAACCAGCAAAAAAAAAAACAAAAAAAAACAGGTCGTTGAAAAACTAAGACCCAAGCAAAGCAGAGCAAAGGAGATGAAGCAATTTTTACAAGGTTTTCAAGACCTCTGACCAGCTTAACAGCAGCGAAGGAAAACCCAGAGATCAATCAGCAAAAAATGGTGCAAAAAGGAGCAAAAAACAAAGGCAAGTAAAGCAGAGCAAAGGACGTAAGGTAATTACAGTAGAGGGGGTGTCGTAACTACAAGGTTGTCAAAGACCACCAGCTGCTAACAGCAGAGATAGAAAGAAGGCAGGGGGAAATCAGCGAAGGAAAAGATGGGAGGAAAACCAGCACATAGTATATTCACTTGCTGATCACGAAGCTTGATGAGAGCAAGCAGAGGCAATCAAAGAGAAAACAGCCCGGCATTCCATCAGAGAAAAAACCGGAGCACTCCAGCTCCGGGCGATGCCCAGGTGATTGATCAACGTCGCGCCGGGAACAAGAAAAGAAGACGAGCCTTGGGTTCAATCTACAGCCCGGCATCAACGTAGCCCAGGTGAATGATCAACGTAGCACCGGGGGCAAGGTCCCACTTGCGCAAATTAGGAGATTTCGGCCGTTGATCTTTGCTATCTACGGTCAGTATCTGTTAGTTCGTGCAAGTGGGACCTAGCCCCGGGATCGACGATGCCCAGGTGAATGATCACGAAGCTTGATGAGAGCAAGCAGAGGAAATGAAAGAAAAAACAGCCCGGCATTCCGTCAGAGAGAAAAACGGACAACTCCAGCTCCGGGCGATGCCCAGGTGATTGACCAACGTGGCAAGAAGAGACCGGTCAAAATCAACGTAGCACCGGGAACAAGAAAAGAAGGCGAGCATTGGGTTCAATCTACAAAACGCTGGCGCATGCTATATCTCCGTCTTTAGGGCTGTGAATCCTGTAACCGAGCACTCTGGACACTCTCCGGAAGTCGACGGGCGCTCTGTCCACCCTCTGGAAGGCGACGGGCATTCCGCCGTCCTCCGATGTGGAGCGTAGGACCGAAATTATTTGAGAAGGAACCTTGATTGAATTTTCGAGAGACGACCGAGGAAAGCAGTTCGACCTTTTCTTTTTTTTTCTTTTTTTTCGTTTCTTTGTTTGTACAGGTTGTGCGACCTGTTCCCTAGGTAATTCAGAATCATACATTCCATTCATCAATGCATAGTGGGTGTACCAACGGACCTTAGGGCCTTAGGCTCGTTGTGCGACTTTTTCGAGACGCTCGATAAGCAGTTCTACGTTGGAGGCTGCCACGCGTCCGAGGGCGAGCTTTCCAGAACCGGAAGTTCCTTGCTCTTATCGCAGGCCGCGGCTCCATCCGATTTCACTGGAGAATGAAGAATTGAAGAAGCTTCTTGGCGATTGCAATTGCAACCAGTCGTCCAGACTTCAGGCCTCGCTGCACTACTCTTGAAATGCACAAAAGACAAAAATCATGGCCGTGTATCTTTCCATATTCTAGGGGAAGATTCACTCTCGTTTTGCACATTTCGAGAATAGTGCAGCGAGGCCCTTCTTCTCTGACTCTACACCAAAAGAACGCGAATCTACGGCGCCCCAAGAGTAGAGGGTGACCACGCGGCGGATTGGGTGACCCTGCGACAGGGCCACAGGAGTTTCAAGGGCGGCGCTCTCTAGGGCTTCGTGTAGGGGTTGTGGAACGAAAAATCAACTTAGGGCCAGATCCCACTGGCAAGGACGATTGGAAGAAGTGTCTGAATCTGGACGTCTTCCACGCAGGGTTGCAGAAAAGCAGATCAATCACAGTTTTCTGCACCTCGCCACAAACACGTCCAGATTCAGACACTCATTGCAATCCTCTTTGCCAGTGGGATCTGGCCCTTAGTGTAAATTAAAATTAATCACGATCCTCAGGTAACGGTGCCGTTATTACAATGTAAGGATCCTTTAGTGGTGTGGAACGAAGCCCTAAATAAATAAACCTGAAGTTCAGTTACGGGACACACCCGAGGGCCCTGGTATCGGCCGGCGGCGAATCGCCGTCCCGCACTTGCAGCAAATCGTGGGTACAAATCGGCGAGAAGGGAGGCCATCTTTTGCACGAACACATGCGCCTGACTATCTCTTGATTTGCTCTGCTATTTTGTCTGGGGCACGCCAGTTGACGTTCATCGCCATTTCATTTCACAGCGGAGACAGCAGTCGCTCTACGAGAGGACGTCCAACTGATCCGCTGTCGACGCGAATTTGGGGACCTCGGCCATCACCACGGGACAGGTCTCTTCGTGTCGCTCTCGTTCGCTCGCCTACTTCGGTGAGGTAGTGATTGGGAAAGCCCAACCAAGTGGTGTTCGAGATGGATTTCTGCTGCCTATGCTTGTTCTGCGATTCAGATCGGCGGGTTCTTGCGGTAGAACCTGGGACAGCAGCAATTTGCGGGGCGTGCGGAGGGTCGGCCTCAGTGACAACTTACAGAGACAGGTACCGCGTTTTCTTCATACCTGTATATTGGACGACAAAGAAGGCAATCATATGCGCTCGATGTGGCTCCACGCTACAAAGAGTGCAATGAGACCCGTTGATGACGATGGCTAATGGAATAATATCTGGAGTGATTGACCACAACTTTACTTTTTCAAGTTTCCCTGCTTCGGGAGGGAGAGGATGAGGGGAGGGGAGGGGAGGGAAGGGGAGAGCAGATGGGAGGGAATATAAGATGGAGAGCAGATGGAGGGAATATAATATTACACGTGCTTGTTCAGGGATTGGTGCAGACGTGCGCAGCGGTGGAGTCTTGCGATGGATCCTCCCTCAGTCGTTCCCCATTCCTGGCTCTCCGGGAAGAGGACTGTGACGAAGCTTCGTCCCACCTATAACTAGGGCAACAGGTTGCCCAGTGCGCGTCGCATTTGGAGGGAGTGCTTACCAGGGCAGTTGTTTTTATTTCTTTCTTGAAGCTGGCAATTTTATTTCTTTCTTGAAGCTGGCAATAGTGGCGTTTGTGGATATGGCAGTGCGATTGTAGATATCTGCATTCCGAGTGCGAGTCGAATGGCTGGCTGCTCGAACAGCGTTAGGGCAATTGCGGCATGCAGGGCGCGCGTGGGATCGCGTTAGGGAAAATGACGAAATCGCGTGCTGGAGAGTGGATCTGGAGGACCCTCCGCAACGGCGTTGCGGCGAGCGCAATAAACGACAACTGTCGTCATACATGGGGAAAACGACAAATGCAGCAGCATAAATCTGCTTGTAGGTTTGAGAGGGCTTAGACATGATGGCAGGATTATGTCCGGCCTTTGGGGTGACGTAAGAGTCTGGCGAGGGTTTGGAAAGGACGGGGGGGGGAGATGGGGTTCGATTGCCTTTCGAGCGGAGGGATATCCCGTTTAATGATGTCCCATTTAATGATGGATTTATTGCCGAGAAAAGGCCATCGCTTATCTGTTGACAGTGACAGCACTTCTCGCTTGAAGTGGGCGATGGCAGTGGTCGTCCTGGCTTGATGTTAGCAATGACACTAGGTAAGAATCTGCGACAAAGAATCGGATCGGATAATTCTTTTCTTCGTAATATTGGGCCACGGCTGTGGAGGGTATCATCATCATGGCAAGGCTTGTCGTGGCTCTTGATGATGATGGGCTCTGTCTTCCCGAGGACGACACGTAGAGATGCGTGAATTTTGTCGTCTTTCGCTTTCCGGGGCCCTTCTCCAGTAACGTATCCAGTCAAGGCCACTGTTGGCCAAAGGTATGGATAGGTCAGTGAAGTCCAAGATCAAGACCCCATGGATGAGTTCCGATGGCTACCGTAGTAGTATCTAACTTCATACTTCATAGTATATGCCTGAGGGGCAGGTATTCACGCTTGCCTTCCTCAATTTGACTTACACAGACCTTTGCATGAGGTGCCAGTCTCGTGGGAGGGAGGTGGCGTACGTGTGTACGGGGGGAAGCAGCGTGAGAACCAAGAGGGGGAAGATAGAACGTGTGCTGGCAAGGGCTTTCCTTTTCTCAGGTCCGCTACGGAAGGTAGTACGGTGCAAGAAACGGCGCAGTGGTGGCGGGAACTTTGCCCCGATCGATACTCGTAGCCTCTCGATTTGTAGCACGCGGATCTCTCGCAGAGACCATCGAGCTCGCTGTTTGTGAAAAAACAGTTGGAGACATCAGAAGTGAGAATCTAGATATCCTTTTCGTTGAAGGGAGGGTTGCGTTTTGTCTACCTGGATGGATGGGCGTGGAGAGCATGGGACGGGGATGGACATGCTATTGCCACTTTGCTGTGCCGATGGAATGCTTGAATCATTAGGATATAATAACGAAAGCGTCAGACTGCCAGCGTAAACTGTTATTACGATTTTTTTCCCCACTCTTCTTCGCTTTCCGTTTGCAATCAGCGTATCTTCAGTGAACAACGTGTTGTGTTTCTAGCTTAGCTTCTTCTACATCTTCCTATCTCCCTTCTTTCTCAGACCGGCTTTCAACACGGTTCTGTTTTGGTTCTTTTTTCAAAGGCTTCTTTAAGTCCTGAATGGCGTGAGCGCCCATGGTGATCCTTTTTCAATCGCCGACGCTCACGATCTTTTCCTATTTCGTCCGCCCCTAAGTGCATGCTCTAATAAAGTACCGTTCATTTGTTTGTTTCTGTCGTATTTGATGGAAGGTGGTAGAGTCGCCACGAAACCTCTTGTGTTTCAACTGCTCATCAATCCCGCTGTCTTGCTTTCCCCCCCTCCTCCCCCTCCCCCCCCACCCTCTCTTCTTCCCCTTCTTCCCCTCCTCCCCCTCCTCACCCTCCCTTCTTCCCCTTGAGTGTCTCAGCTTCCGTTCTCAACCTGTCTTGTCTGTTTGTGCGCAAAGTTTTTTGGTGTTTTTTTTCTTCCTCTAGCTTAGTCTTTCTGTTTTCCTGAATTTCCTTTTTAGGGAAGAGGTGTAATTCGCCCTGCTTAGGACGTCCATTCATTCATTCTGTTGGAAGTAATAACCGAGAGTTGCACAGAGAAGGGCCAGATTCGTTGCACTTACCACTCCATCGAATCTCGAGAATCGAAGTCATGAAAATGCTGATGAAGAGCAGAAGAAAATACAGCACCGCGAAATTGTCGATCTGGGAAAAAGAATGACAGGTGGTGACAAAATAGGAACAGCAGTTAACACCTTGTTATTCTCTGAATGCTTGTGAAATGCATTGATGCCTCTCTAACACTGAACTAGAGAAAACTGCAAGGCGAGGGGAAAGAGAAATACGTTTTACTGTCCTTCGGGACATCCGTTAAAATTGGAACGATACAGAGAACGAAAATTAGCATGGCCCCTGGGCGCAACGATGACACGCATAAATCGAGAAAAAGAAAGGATTTTTTTTTTGTTTTGGAAAGGAGCAGAGGTCCGGCAAAAATTGACATGAATACACGGAGTGTTACGGATCACTTGCTCGTTAAATTGCGGTGGATTGTATGGCCGCAAGGGCGTGTTCAGTCAGCATTCACTCACGTTGGTGATGATGAACTTGTTCGTGAAGAGGCAAGCTGCCGGCAGGATACAGTAGACGCATAGTGTGATCGAGGTGAAAGGGTAGACACAGGTGTTGATATACCTGCACTCAAAAATATAGTCAGACACACACACACACACACGTAACACGTGAGTTAAAAGTCATCATCAGTGAGCCCGACAATGAACGATGAAGACGTCGACTCCTGCTAATCATTACTATATACCTTCACCCTAGACATCTTCATCACGATTTTTTTTTTTTTTTTCACAGAATACAATTACATACCTGCTGTGCTGTCGTCAGTTCGCATCATGCTCGTGAAAGACGGAGAGTTAGATCGATTCAATTCATCACCTTCGACATCTTCATCCCTTTGCTCAAGTTCCTCTTCTCTGTGGTTTTGAGAAGGCAATTTCTTTTTTTATTGCAAAACTCAAATTCCACGAGGATGCCGATTTCACTGCCGTAGACCGAGGATCACAGATTTTCTCTTGTATAATTTAGGGGAATTCTTTCGTTATGCCCCTCAAAGATGGGTTTATTGCGATGTACCTCATACACCCGCCTAAAACTGGCATGCCCATCCGACCTGTAACCTTCACGCCAGGCCCCGTTGGGAGGGTGGGCGACCTTTTTGGGTCACAATTGGACCATTTCTCGATATAGGGGTGGCATCCTTGCCAGGCGTCATGCTTTCTAACTTCAAAGGATGCCCCACCGGACAAAGGCCGGGCAAATTGTCGGCATGCCGGGTAGCCGTAAGCAACCGGACTGCCACCCCCCAGAATAGACGGGGCCTGTGAGTGCGTGTGCTAGAAAAAAGAAAAAGGGATGGGACCTCCGGCAAAAGCTGTGTTCGCATTGTTGCAATTCTGCGTGACATATATTTTTGTCCAGATTTTCTTGAATTGTTGTTTTTCCAAAGTCACGTTACCCTTGTTTGTTTGAAAAGAACTTCACCCTTGTTTTCTCGTCGGGTTTGGCTGGTAGTAATTGCTAATTACTATATGACTCTCTCCGGCGAAAGTTGTCACACCAGCTGATGTGAGCATTGTGAGGCACGCTGAGCCCGTTTCCCAGCATCGTGAAGACAATAGAAAAAAAGCGGGCGCGGAGATGGCCGCGTTCATGTGTCAAGATCAAGCAAGGAAATGGAACACAAAATTAATAAATCACTTCAAGGGTGGACATTTTATGGATTTGATCGACTTGAGCTTTGTTGGTCGATTCTTCCTGTGAATGTTTTACAGTGCGAGCATTTGCCGGTGTTTGCTGAAAGAAGCAGTGAGTCATTCTGTGCAAAGTATTTACTCCCAAGTGCTGCGACCGGACTGTTGTGGACGTCGCTCCACCAGTCGCAATGGCGATTCCATCTTCAGCTACAACATTTGGATAGGGCCCTCTAGCACTACCGTAGGTGCGCACCCAAATGTCAAAGGACTGTCAATCCCCAAGTAAACATGCGAAGAATGCCCGAGTCCCTAAGGCTTCCAGGCTTCTATTTCCCGCCCCCTTCTCCACCCCACACTACCGTCTCAATGTCGTAAACCCTATGATTAATGGGCAGTCTCAATGGACAGACCGTGAACCCTCAACCTGTGGATCAACTTGATGTTTCAGCGTCCACTATCCAGTGTCCACCACCCCTTTTTTCCACCAAAAGCGAAGCCCAAATTTCCAAGTAAATCAACCCTCAACGTGTGGATATGGGGAGAAGCCCCCTGAGGATTGCCAGGCGCGCAGCCTGGCCGAAACGCGTCGGGGAAATTGCGCATTTTTCTGAGAGTTGTACATGCGGAGAAGTATAGAAATATCTTGTCGATGCCTGTGCGAGAAGCAGTCTATGGCCACTGTTTTCACTAAGGACACCAACTCCAGACTCGCACGGATACCAACCCCAACAGCGAAGCCTAATTTCCCAAGTACGGACAATAGACACGGTGAAAAGAAAAAGCCTTAGAGCGAAAAGCAGAGAAGCTGCGGAAACAAAGAAAATAAAAACGGGGGTCGAAAATGGAAAATAAAAACGGGGGTCGAAAATGAAAACGAGGATCGATTCTCGGGCTCGACATTCCAGACGAAGCTGTTCTATATGAAGCTTGTGTGATTGTATGAAGGTTGTAGTGATTGTACTTCGACATTTATCTCTACCTTCATCCATTTCAGACGAAGCTGTTCTATGTTGAGCTCGTGTAGGTGTAGGGAATTCTGGGTCTGCCTTATACCCTCTTGTGTAGGAGAAGTCTTTTGCGGTCACGACGTCTCTAAAGGTCTCCTTTGCGAACACCGTGACGCTTGTGCTGTGTCAATTCGTGTGCATGGAGGAAGATGGATGACGGCACAGACAAGGAAGGGGTTTTCCACCGATTGGTCGAAGGAAGGGATATGTTTACGGACTTCATGTGCAATCCTTGAGAGGATGCAAGTTTATGATGAAGGTATAAGAAACGGCTTGTGGTGTTCAAAGAGATAGAAGCAAACTTACGCCATCCGCTGTTGGAAGTTCAGGCTCCGGCACCAGAGGTTGAATATGGGGTTATGCCTTGAAAAGAAAATTTCGACAGATCCTAGTGCCCACCTGTCCACATCCAAAACAAAAACGCACACAAAGGTCATTATAGGTTCAAATCTCCTCTTCCAACCTGTCCACATGCGAAACAGACAGACGCGCACAAAGGTCATTACAGGTTCAGACTCAAAAGCGTTGGAATCTCCTCTTCGAAGTGGCCCGGAGTAGGAGGCAGGGAGGGAGGGAGGGAGGGAGGGAGGGAGGGAGGGAGAGAGTTGGTGCGGTGAGGTCCATCGATCGGGCAGCCATCAAAGACACACAGGACACATAGTACTCGCACAATAACTTTCATTTACGAGATGCCGGAGGTCTCCCCGTCCACCCGAATCATATCGTGCACATCACACGGAGTCAAACAACGACATCACAAGACGGGTGATCCTTCTCTTTTCTTTTTTTTTCTGCTTCTTTTTTAGGTGATGCCGATGGCAGAAGAATTCTTCATCTAGCGTGTTGAGAGATCCTTTGCCTTCCGCGCAGCTTCGGCAAGGGTCTAAGCAAACGTCGATAGCCATCAGGAGAAGGGGCACTGTGTACTATTCCATAGCAATGTGCTAAATTATAGTGAATACCGATTCAACTTGTGGCTTCTCTGGTAGCAGTAAATGGGCTCGTAGATAGAAGTAAAACCTGTCCTGTTGAGTACTACAGTATTCCCCCGAATACAACATACGGTCATTCTAGCCGAATTTAGACTGATATATGTACCGAATTCGGCAATAATGACCGTACGTTGTATTCGGGGGAAGACTGTAGTCGCGATTCGAACGGTGAATATGGTAGGGTACATAACCATTTCACACTGGCCGCAGGCTTTTTGCCAGAAGCGTTCAAGTCTCAGCTGTCTGAGCCTCTGGAGGATGCCGGCCGTACCTCCTACGCTGCTCGTGGGGTCCTCTTCTCCCTCTTCAGATTCACCTCACAGTAAATTTCCACGTGTCGCTCCGTGAAAGTGTCACTATGAAAAAGAAGTGACGGAACAGGCGGTTTCTCCTTTTTTCCTTTATACGGGTTCCCCCCTTCCCCCCCTAGGACGTAGGCAGTGGAGTTTGTTGGAGGTCGGATTTGAACTTCTGATCTATTTATCAATAGGTTGTTGTATCAGACCCTGCGGCTGACACGTACACACATGTTAACTGGCAATAACTGCTAATAAACACATCTTCAGTTCGAATGCTCCTGGTTTCAGGGGCAAGGCAAGGTGCAACCGACCGCAGGTTTAAATCAAATTAAAGGAATAGAATACAGAACAGAACGGTTAACATGCGTACCATCCAGCCACTGGACAGGGAACGGAAGCCTACTTCTGATAAAGCTGCAGAACTGACAAGACTGATTTTTTTTTTTCCTCCTCTCTCACAAGACTGATAGAGTGTCCGGTAATTTGAAGAGTCTGCTGACGTTCGTAGGGGGGGGGGGGGGGGACCACCACCTGAGGGGAGGCACAGGGATTGGTTCTGTTGGCATGGTCCCTGAAGCCACCGGCTGTCCACTGGCCGGTATCGCCCACCTGCAGGTCGGGAGCAGCACTCGTGAACACGGTTCTGGCTGCTACGGGTTTGTTCCCCCTATGACTAAAATTAGAAATAGTGGTAGGTAGGTAGTGTGAGGTGAATTTTCCTTCGGGACATCCGTTAAAATTGGAACAATACAGAGAAAAGAAGATTAGCATTGCCCCTGCGCAAAGATGACACGCATAAATCGAGAAATGGTCCTAATTAAAAAAAAAAAGGAAGAAAAAAGAAAAAGAACAAAAAAAATCAGAAATTGAGAGAAGAATGTAGCTTACTTGAAAAAAAAAAAAAAAAAAAAAAGTGTGCTCTGTATTTCGCTGCGTATTCCAGTGCTAGACAAGTTATTCAGTGACATTTACGCACTTCTTTATTGTTTTTTTTTCTTTTCTCTATGTCGACGCGTGTCATCTTGCACAGGTGCCTTGCTCGACTTTATGGGTCTCGCCGCACGGCAAACGAAACGAAACCGAAACGAGTGCATCTGCCCACGAATGGTGGCAAAATACACTCGTTACTATTTATAGGAAGCCGATGAACCTGGCCATTTTTTGCTTGAAGACGCACTCGTTTCGTTTTTCGTTTCGTGTCCCGTGCGGCGACGCCCTATATTTGTTGCTCAAAGCAACGGGATCATTTCTTTATTTTCACCGTGTCATCATATTCTTGCGAATGTGGTCATCTTCGGAGGGTCTACTCTGAAGAGGGCCATCGCACTTACTCACCTACTACGCGCCAATATACACCGGTCACAAAGATAGGTCGATGAAACACACGTGGCCGCCTATTATAGCTTGGCCTTCCTAAATTTTGCTACCGAGCGTCCTCACCTCTAGTTGCTCTCACAGTGATGATTTCGAGAGAAAAGGGGAAAAGAGCATTGGCGCACAGTCGGTCCCGAACTTTCGCTACCCAAAATTGGCGCACAGTGGTGTACCTCATCACAAGTAGGAGACTCATCAGCACCACTAACACTGGCGGGGGTGTGTTTATCAAAAAAAAAAAAAGAAAAAAAAAAGGAGCGGACTACCGTACGTCTCCTCAGTACCTAGACTCTGAGGCGGTGAATGGGGAAAACACCCTCATGGCGTGCGAGTGTTCCCTACGGAAACAAAAGCTTTCCGCATTTCAGAACCATCGTTCCGAACTGACTGACACCACTTTAGGTGACTGAAGGGAGGAATTACTTCCCAGGTTGGAAATGGGATAGGAAGTAAAGTAGGCAAAATAGTATTTTGAGTACAGATAGGTAAACGAAGGATAGCCTTTTCCTTTTTTGGTTTGTTCGGCAGCTTTGATTCACAATTGCACAGTGGGGAGAAATCAGGACAGAGGCCTAATGGAGCCGGAACTGTTCCTAGTCTTTTCGCTCTCCTGCTGTAGCCTAAGCTAGTCTTTTCGCTCTCCTGCTGTAGCCTAAGCTAAGCTGGCTGATGCTGTCAGTACTGTTTCCGGGTTGAATTGTGGGTCCCCGGCCCAGCTTTGAGAGTATTAATACAGAAAGTAAAAAAAAAAAAAAAAAAAAAAGATATGTTCCATGAGATATGAGAGGTGAAAGAAAAATATATGGCTGTCCTCCAATGAGGAGAAGGCAGTTTCAAAAAAAAAAAAAAAAAACACTGCAGAAGGGTCGTGTTGTTTGCTTCTTTGCCTGAGGCCCTGAGCTTCATTCATGTGGTTTTGGAAAGTTGTTGGTTGGAAATGTAGGGGATGCTGTACCCAGGGGCCAATTCCCACTAGCAGCGTTGAGCTACCTCAACACCATTCGTTACCTACCCACCACTACTCCTATAACCATACGGGGGACCCCTAGTACCCCTACAAACATAGCTATTTCTCACAATTAAGAGGATGCATGTTCCCCCCCCGCCCTAACGAGTAGTGGCGGTCAGGGAGAAGAGCGGAGCGAGGCCCTAAGAGCACTGCCAGATCGGACCTTGGCATCTGCTCGTCAACTTCTGGATCATGTACTCCAGATGCATCTGCATGTGCACACCGACAGGGTTAGTTTTGTCCTTTCCCGAATTTAGGCTGCCTCTTTGTCCTTACGGGAAAAAAAGGAGTTCATCCAGCATCTGTTGAAAGTCGCCATCACCCTGTCGATACAAACTATGGTAATGAGTTTGAGGTCGGGGCATCTCTACCGTTCACGCCTTTGATATCTTCTTGAACGAACTTAGTCTATGTCTATCCTTCATGCCGTTGATATGTTCTTACTTCTGTCCGGGTGGAGGAGATTATAATCATTATACGCATGCACGGCAAGGGGAAATATCGTGATGGTTTGGAGTGGGAACGTTGACCTGTAGCGTTAGGCTTCAGGCGAAAGGTTGAAAGCCAGAACGCAAAGATTCACAGGACGATCGCAATGATGCCTCATTCATGCCGCCCCTTGTCCAAGGTTCACATTCTCATTCGTTATCCTTATTTCAGGGTCCTGTTGGGCAACTTCTTGGCGCGCTCGAGCCAGTCAATATTTTCGCACTTCTTGGCTCTCACTTATTGGCTTGAGTTGATCGATGTTTTCATAGATGCCCAACTGCGGGAAGGAGGGCGGAAACACAGATCCAATGTGACAGTCGGGTTTCAAATAGGGGTAACTGCGCAAGGTAGCATCCTTGTGATGTATCCGAATATGGGCCATCACACTCGTACTTGGACTCCCCCAAACCCGAAAAACCTTGGAAAAAGGACGCATACGCACACGACACCGTAGGGCCTAGGCTCTGGCGAATACTAGGAGAGAGAGGAAACCTTCATCTCATCAATGGTGAGGCCACTCAGTGACGGATAGAAAAGAGCATGCAAAGCAGGATGACCGACGCATAGAACTGTGAAACATTTTACTCAATGATGGCTAAGTGTGAACAATCTCCCTGTTGCCTTCACCACGCGATAGATGCGACAGCACAAGCATGACCAGGAGCTAAGGCATAGCACGTGCATAAGATTGTACAATCTATAGGCCTTGGCTCCCCTGCGTGAAGTAACAGTTTATGTGGGGGGAGATGCTGCAAGCCTGCAAGTAGTACATGGAAAAAGCTAGTGTGTACACCAACGGTAAAAAATAGATGGAGCCTCTCCCCAGGCGCTAGTGGTGTCTGCTCTTATCAGCACCACTAACACTAGTGGGGGAAGTTGTTAAAAAAAATAAAAAAAAAATAAAAAAAAAATAAAAAATGGAAAGTTCACATGGAAAAAAGAAAGAAAAAATCCAGTTACTCAGCCCATGTGGCTGAACGGTACACAAATGTAATTGGTGGTGTACAGATCATGAGCTCTACGCCCTTTCAGAAAATAAAAGGAAAGGAGATTCCTCAGATTCGACTTACCGGAGCACCTGACCCAGCCGATCCGTCAAATTGATGGGTGCAGTTCCCTGCATAACACAGGACGACATGCACATGCTCATGTTCAGTCATTTATATAATAATCGAGCAATCTCTACCTCGTTTGCGCCTGCCTCCATTTGTCTTAAATTTATCGCTGCGCCAGACCTTTCCTTTCCTGTCTCCCTCCCTCCCTCTCAAGCTTCCACTTTCCCATGAAAACGCAGACATGTTCCCATTCCATAATTTCCATCCCTGTTTTCTGCTCTTCATCTCTTTCAACAACAACACACCCACGCACCCACGCACCCACGCACCCACGCACCCACACACCCACACACCCACACACCACATACACGCACACCCACATTCACACACCGGCTACCCACTGACGTCTCCTGCATGGACTATCCCCAAGGACGCCAAGGCCATTGTCCGCCATATCCCCTCCTAGTATGTCCCACATGCAGTGTTGTGCAACTGCCTGCTGCAACCGCAGATAGATTTTATGGATTTCCTTCTCCTTGCCAAGCGAACGACCACAAAGCGCTGTACTGAGGAAAATAGACTACCATGTGAATCGCCTACAGAGCGCTTACTGAAAGGTTATCACCTCGAGGGCAAGCTGTTTGCAGACCAAATCCTGCAGCAGCTAAACCACCATCGTTTCCCCATAGAGATGGAATAAATACTGAGTAAACCCAAGAAACCTGCTCAAGCCTCTCTGTGATGATCCATCTGAAATAGTGAGATTCTGCTAGCATGTGGTTCGCATGTCTTGTGCTGTGAGGATTATGAAGGGCTAGGCTATGCGGGTTTTCGTCGTCATATATATGAATCAGACGACAGTCAATACTGCACCCATGTATTTGGCACGCTGACATGTCATGTCCAACTTGTAGACAGGGGCTGAAACGGCAATGGCTCTACAATTGCAGGCGGCATGCCTCTGTATTCCTAGCATGTACGAGCCACGTAGCCTATGACATTTGTCTACGCCGTGCAATTCAACTGCAACTGCGAGAATTGGATGCAGAGCTTCCACAGTCCACACCCGAACCGGTCCTGTCCAGTTCGTAGGGGGTGGCCACTTACGATAGGCAACAGCTGCTCGTCAACTCCAAATCTTCTGTGACCCAAACACTGACTGGCCCCTTGTGCCATTCTAGAGCAGACGGCTCCAGCGGTCAGTATTTAGAACCCTGTGAAGTTCATCATATCTCTGTTCTGTGTTTTGTCACTCCACTTTTTCCCCTACCCCTTCTCCCTCCCCTGCCCCTCACTCCCTATAGAATCCACTTTTTCCCCTACCCCTTCCCTTCTTCCCTCCCATGTGTACTACTGGTAAATGTATACAGATGAGCATCGTCAAGAGAACATACAAAATAAGCCGAAGATCTGAAGAAAAAGTGGAATAAACTGGGACGCTGGGCCCGGTTCCCTTTTCCCCCTACCATATCCTCACAAATTGGCACAAACTGGGAACCGGGCCCAGCGTCCCATAACGGGTACGTTCAGAAAGCTCATCAGAAAAATTCCATAAAAATGAGACTAGGAACCTACTAGAAAAAAATTGAGATACTGGGGCCATTTCCCGGCTTTGGCTCAGAGAAATTGGAACTACTTCACTCTGCTTCCTTTCATACCGTGCAAGTGTGCCGTTAAGGCACATGGGGGCGTGAAAGCATCTGGAAGAAAGCCAAAGCAATCGTAGTTGACAAAAAGATTTCAACAGGTTTATTCTGCTCCATGTTACTCGCTGTAGAGGTAATGCTGTTTCAGTGTTGGAATGTCTCAACTCAGATATGCTTCGTTGTCTGCAAGAGGACTAAACCTGCTTCGATTTAGGTTCTAATCATCAGGGTGGATTAGGGGTCGTTGTAGTGAAAATCAAAAGCACACACACACACACACAAATACACAACGCGCAAACAGGCCAGCCAACCGACTTGAAAGAAAATCTATGCTGGAGCTTAGACACACATAGGACCATAGGTTATCACTTTTTTCCCTATGTTCTTTGCTGGGGCTCACAAATCGTTTGGCCTGAAATCGAACCGTACGGAGGTCTCACCTTGAACGCATCTCTCTTGGGTATAGTGTAGACGGAATACCAGCCGTTCACATGCATGTTCATGCCAGTGACGATATCTTCTGTGACTGAACCATACATCCAACCAACCTGCGTGCGAGAAACGACAGCCATGGCAATAAACCCAGACGGAGGTCAGAAAAGATTACAGGGTGATTTGAAAATCCACTGATGAACACACGACGCAAGAAACGTCATCTGGCCATGAGATGATAGAGAACCTGGTCTGACAAGCGGTCGTCAGGTACCGTAACTTCCGTAAGTCTGGAATTATCAGAAACATTATGTACACATCAGGCATTTGATCACTTGGCCCGCGACAAATACGTCATTGCTCACGAAGGAAAGATGGCCGAAATGATGCTCACACCTAAAACAATAAAACTAAGAGAGAAGCACCAATTTGAAATTTCAACGCAATTAAAACGGGGCCCTCGACCAACTGGCCTGGCTCAGTTGATACACCCCTGGACTGTTGAAATAAAGACCCGAGTTCGAACTCCAGTTACTCCACTGGAAGAGAGTGACATAATAAAGTATTATAGTTCTGAATTACCTGCTGCCGCTCCAAGTGTTGAGGGCTACGGTTCAACGTATTAAACCTGCTGCAACTACAAAGAATGTGAATATTATCCTCAGAAGAAGCAGGATTCCTTCCTGATGCATGATAGAAAACTCAATTAAGTAAACAAAATAGAATCGGTTATCTACCCGAAATGATTGAAGTCCCAACGATCCGTTTCAAAGACTAGGCTACTGGACATGTTAACCTTTTTCAAGTCTCTTTTGGTGTTTACTCCTGTGATTTCCCCAACTGGTTCATTTTATAGAAAATGTTTGGCACATAACATGTTGGTGCGCAGATGTAGAAAACAGTAGAACAACAGGCATAGCTAAATAACAGATGTCGGTTGAATTCTGCCGAGCACATGACTCAACATTGCAATCCTCGTCGATTTGCTTCCTCACTCTGTCTACTTCGATGTAATTAACTACCTTCCCCTAGCTGCCCTTCCCTTTTCGCTGTTCCTTTACCAACGGAAGAAAGACAGAACATGAGTGGTGAAGCCAAACTTGGAAGGCGATATGGCGTCAGATGCTCTCACCGTTTTCCCCCATTCAGTGTGGTCTTCATAACCGCAGGAGGTCACAAGGATGACGTCGTTCAGCACCTGGTACGGATCGACGTCCTGCAGAAAAGAAGAGGCCAACAGCACAGTCAGGCCATGTGAAAGACGTAAAGCTCAAGAAATTGGCAAAACCATGTCGAAATTTCCCAAAGGGATCGTCCTCGTGCATTTCAGCTTATTACCAATCATGAGAAATGGTAACACAACCTTCCTCATCAATAGTCATCAAGAACAAACTGAAGAGTCGTGAAGACTCTGAGCCAATTTAGCCAAAGCGTTGCAATCGGGAGAACATGGATTGTCATGCAGAGAGAAGCAGAACAGGACATCGAGAGTCAACCTTTGGTGGGCAAGCTCAAAGGAATGGAAATCACTCATAGGTAGGTAGGAGAGAGAGAGAGAGAGAGAGAGAGAGAGAGAGAGAGAGAGAGAGAGAGAGAGAGAGAGAGAGAGAGAGAGAGAGAGAGAGAGAGAAACTCACCGGAAGACCGCCCTCCGCATCGACGACGGTTGCTACAAATGTTGCGCAGTTGCCGAATCGCTTCTTATGCCACGACGTGGGAACAAGCTGGACCTCGTCTGCAACAGTCAATTGGCACGAGCTTCAGCATCATGATCATTACGCATTGGCCAAATTATATATTTTTTGGAAAGTGTGTTATTATACCGTGGTAAAACAAAAAAAAGGAAAATGTTCTGAGAGACACCTGTTAAAACTGAGATGCGATATAGGGAGTACGTTGGAGTAGCCTGCTCAGACATGTACAGAGTTCAGCGAGGTTGGCAAATGTATTGCACAGAATCTGATCGATTGGGGGTACGTTGGAGCATCCCATGGATAGCAGACGATCTGCTGACATTGGAGGCGCCCTTGGGTGCAGGCTACTCCAGAAAGGAAATTGAATCAGAAAAAAGGGACAAGGAGACGAATGCCACCTTGGAATTAGCAGATAGGATCCAGTGACCCAGCCAGGATCCAATGACGCATGACCTCATAAGGTTCGGAGGACTTTTGCTACTGCTGTTCATTGGCCCGGGTCTGAAACACTGGGTGACAGTGGGAAGCACTGTTCCTCTGCTAGAGATTACGGGCAAGTTGGGGGGCAACGGAATCACGTACATCTCTCGGTCCTTGTACTTAGCTACTAGGCTAGGGGTAGGGGATAAGTTTCACATTCTCGTTAATGTGACAGTGACACGTACCTTCGGGTCGATCGCCTGGAATGACAGCGGTGTTCAGCTTGATTTTTTCGGTGTCTTGTCTCCTCTTCGGACAGCAGCAGCACAGAGGATTGCACCCTCGTCGAAGCTCATGGGCCTTCTGCGGAGGCAGGAATCCATACAATGCCTGCCAGCCATACAGCCCAAACAAACGTCGGTCCAAACGTTGGACAGGAACAGTTTATCTCTGAGTAGGTGTGAAACACACAATCTCTGAGGAGTCTGAGCAGATGACAGGTCGACTCTGTAGCAAACCACCTTTCATTCTCTTTTGCAGTAAGTTAAGAACAGCAACTCCACCTAAAGCCGAAAGACGCCCTGCAAAGGACTGTGCAAACTTACCCATTCGTAAAGCCACATGAGGACCCTTCAGCGAAATAATGGAACATTACGAAAAGGTGGCCAACATGGCGCCAATTGCAGAGTAAGAAGTAAAGTGGTCGTCAGTACCATGACGAGGACATGCATACTAGACAACGTGCCACATGCACACCCACAGACAGACACTACGCGCTCACGCCCCTACACACACACACACACACACACACACACACAGAGAGAGAGAGAGAGAGAGAGAGAGAGAGAGAGAGAGAGA